CCAAATTTGTGAAATTTGGCTACAGGGTCAGGGGTTGTAGTGTTAGGGGAGGGGCTCTTTGATTATAAAGGGAAAATGCGTTATTTGTTTGAAAATCTCTGCTCCCGGGCATAAAGCAAACATACATGTACAACATGCATGATTATGATGAGCAAGGATGCTTATTCCGAAATTGTAAAATTTCATGGCCCCCTGAGTCAGGGGTCCGGTGTTAGGGCAGGGCTCTATAGATCAGATAGTGAAAATGCATAACTTATTTAAATATCTTCTCTTTTCCTGAATATTTACTAGACAAACTAATTGTATAATTATGAAGAGCAAGGATGCCTCTTCAAAATTATGGAATTCGAATCCCCCTAGCCAGGGGTTCTGGTGCTAGGGCGGGCTTTATTAATTACATTGAATATAATGAAAATGATTATTTCTTTAAAAATCTACTCCTCTGTCCCTTGTATTAAGCAAACGTACGTGCTAAGTGCATGGTAATTATAAGCCTCTTCCAAAATTATAAATTTCTCGGCTCCTGGGTCGAGGCTCTGGTGTTGGGGGGGGGGGGGGGCTATTGATTAGTGAAATGCATTATATCTTTGAAAATCGTCTCTGCTCCTGGGTATTAGCAGATAAATTAAGTGCATTGATATGGTGAGCAAGTGTGCCTTTTTCAAAGTTGCGAATTTCCTGGCCCCTGGGTCTGGTGTTAGAGCGGCGTTGTGTTGATTCTATAGTGAAAATGCATTATTCCTCTGAAAATCTTCTTTGGTCAGGGGCGTCTAGGAGGCAAATAGAGTATAAAAGTGTAATAAGCAAAGGTATTTTTAACAGATTTTTGAAATTCTGAAACACTTGATCAAGTGTTCTGGTGCTTGGAAGGGCTCTTTTAATATTTGTATTCTACTGAGAAATGTTATTCCCCCTTTGCTATTCACCTGTGATAGTCAAGGATGTCCGATCCTCAGCTAGGAACGATAACTCTAAATTCTAGTATTTAATTTTAAAAGTCTCAAAATGAAGCTTGAAATTGAAATATTTTCTTGCAACAATTTTCATTTTATGCATCACAATATGATTCAAGGTTCTTTGAAGTCTTAGAAATGATATTATAAAATGTTGATATTTGTACCTCACAAAAGTAAAAAATTAAATTCATTTTTAGAGAAATTGAATTTCTTTTAATATAGCATTTATTTAGATACCAATGCTTATTAGCATGATATGGAATTAGAAGTGATCTGCGATGTCTTGCAATGATAGCACGAGCTTTTTAAAATTATGTAGTATATACATGTAACAATTGAAGTAAATAGAAGAATTAAAATATACTGTATAAGTGTGCAAAATATGCAGTTTTCTCCAAAATGCCTTGATACCTAAAGTTTTGAATCTAAAAATATTTGTTGATCAATTCTGAGTAAGAAAATCCATAGCTGGTGCTTTTATTCGCATTTACTGAAAATGCATTTGAAATTTGATAATTTTCCCTACATAATATGATTAACTTTACTGATTAACTTTGAAGATATACCATGGATAAATACACCTTACTCTGTGAAATCTAAGACATTTTTGTGAGCATTTTCAATTACTGAAAAGCTGATTTTCAGAACCTGGGGATCGGACCACCTTAATCAGTGTAAATAATGTATTTGAAAGGTCAACTGAATAAGCGAATTACACAAAACTTTTATATGATATAATACAAAATGTGTTTTCGTAGTTTTTAATGGTCAGGTAGACTTGTAAATAATAGATAAATAAAAATGAGACAAAAATACCTCATCATTGTACATTGAATTTTTCTCCAAGTATCAAAAGAGGCCAGTGTGATAGGGAATGAAATAGTCTTACTAATAGTGGTCAAGCACTATTGTTGTGTTTACCATAACTGATGATAGTAACAAATGGGGAAGGGGAGGGGGGGGGGCAAGAAATAGATCTACTTTAAGATTTGTTATTGAGTACTAGACTAATATAATTATTTTGTTGATCCCTGATCATCCTAATTATCCTTTTGTAGTGCTTTTAGACATCTTTGCTTCATCTATCAGTTTATTTTGTTTTATTTTAAATTTCTGTGGAAATAATATCTGATAGAATATACATGTAGGCATGAATGGGTAGGAAGTCATACATTTTGGTACGTTATCATGTTTTCAAAGAAGTCTCAGAAGGGGAGGGGGTGCACAACCATACGTCAGGCGCCTTGGTTTTGATAGAAACCCTCAAGATTAACTAGTTTAGTGACAAGGCAGCTAACCCAGAGTCTACGGGAAATAAATGTTTGCTTTAAAGGCCACCACTTCGGAAAGAGATTGAACATAACTGCCGTCAATAATAAAAAGCTAAATTAAAGGAATGTAGAAAATGGAGATAACGAACAGTGACCAATCTCTTACATACAATAGACAAAACGAATCGTGAACTGGTCAAAAACATGGACCCTTGTAAACACCAGAGGTGGGTTGGTGCCTAAGAGGAGTAAGCATAGTTGTTAATCTTCGTTGCCCTTTTGTTTTTATTAAACGTATTACTATTTAGTAAGTTATATCTTATGACCCCTGTAGGTATCTTACTGGATACAAGCCAACATACTTACTGAGGACAAGACAATGTATGACCTCACAGAAATGGCTGCATGAAATACAGGTTATGTCGACATTAACCTAGTAACCTATACAATGCATTGACCAATAGCAGTAAGTGAACTAAACAATGAAACCACGCAGATTTATGCAATACTCCTACTGATTGGTCTAAGAAAAACATTATCAAGCAAAGATCAATGTATAGTTGGTGTGTGAAACACTCTGCTTGGAATAATGTCCATTAGGAGCAATTACGTCGATGAGTTCCTTTCATTTTAATCCCCCTTAGACTATGCATTGGTATTTGTTTTACATGAATTGTTAAAAGCATTTGAATAAGCAAGATTTGCATTTGCGAAATAAAATAAAGGGTAGTTAAAAAGATTAAGAACACATACTTGAACGAAATAACGACAAAAGGTAATGATTAAGTCAAGGTTATGAGTAACATTAACTGCCGTCCAATTACTTAATGAAGGTCTGCTACTGAGCATACATCATTGAGCAATGTGTTTGATTTAAAAACTTAATTATTTCCTTGCATTGAGGTATATAACCCATATCAAACGATTTTTATTGATCGTGCCCACGACTATATTTGATAGAAGAAAAAAAAACCTCCAGTCATATTGTAATTGGTACAATTCGAACGTTTTTTAACATTGTGATATTCTGAATTAAAATTGGTTAACATATTTCATACAAATTGTTAAGTCTTTGGATTTTTACTAAATTTGACTACGAATTACACCGTCTGCCTGATGAGTACATAGGACTCATGGTGGGTGTGACCGGTCGACAAGGGATTCTTGCTCTTCCTAGGCACCTGATCCCACCTCGAAAATTTCCAGCCAGGGGTCCGTGTTTCATGCCCTGATTATAGATTTGTATGGTTTGTATTTTTTTAATCGATCATTGCTCGTTAGCTTCATTTATTCATTAAAATTGGACGAGTAGTTCGTTATTTTCATCTTTTTCATTTTATCAAAGAAGAAGCTGAAAATGCTCGAATATTTACGCCCGATGGACATCACACGACGTCAGACAAAAATTGATAGCAATATGTCACCTGAGTCTCGGGTGATGTAATAAAATTTAAAAACTCGTGTTTACTATATATAATGCTTTCTCAATTTCAATGAACAGTATTGCAGTGGTGAATAAGAATAGAATAATGCATCTATGAATTCCTTTTTAAAAACTTTCACCTCATACAGGTTTAATGTGATTTCAAAAAAAAAAAAAACCTGGGAAAGAAATATATTAAAGGCTTATAATTCTTTTTATTTATTTATCATACTACATGTACTAGAAAAGAATATGTGAAAATCTCTTGAAAAGCTATACCTCTGACAGTTTTGATTTCAACAAGACAGGAAAACATCAGGATACATGATTCTGTAATTTTAAAGGAGATGGGTGAACAATGTCTTTAAATATATATATATATATATATATATATATATATAAACAGAGAATAATAATACCCTTTTTCCAAATGAAATCCTGTATCAGCCCGAGACACCAATATCAGCCAGAGGGCCGAAAGCCCGAGGGCTGACATTGGTCGAGGTGATATGGAAAAGGGTATTATTACTCTCTCTCTCTCTCTCTATATATATATATATATAAAGATATTGGTATTCTTATAATAAGTTATCATGTTGTAAATTTTGCATTTTCCTCCCTCTAGTAATTAAATTCAAAATTTACTACATGATACATGAATGGATAGTACTAGTATTACATGCATTTACTTCAATATCATCCCGTTTGCGATGGAAGGTTGACACAGAATACACAAACCTCATTTTTGACATGTATTAAGATTGACCAAGGGTACATCTAAAACCAATATTGTCCTGATTTAAAAGTATGTTGCTTACTTCTTTTGCCCTTTGTGAAAAATGGCATGCTCAGGAGTAAATAATTTTTGTCCGGATCAAAGTATTGAGCAGCTTACTGTAGCATAATCATGCAAGCCATAACTTTGTAACAGAAGATATCGAACAGGTATGTCTCAACCAGGATTGAGTTAGAGGTTTACATCAAATTGAAGGAATCTCGAGTTGTTAAGATACTTTCTTCGGATCTCTACAAAAGGCTCCCTTTTCATTACAATTCACTGGCTTCTATTTGATTGTAATGTTGATGAAATGTCTACTGATGTTAAAAGCATATACTCTGCAGATAATAAATGTCAAGCTCTTAGTATTTTCATTGAGAGGTTTACAAATGGATAGCAAAGTTACATCCCAATTTCTTTCATTAACTATTGTCTTTAATTTTAAATGCCTAAATCAACATCACCAGCAATCGATTCCACGCACCGCCTTGCTTAATGTATTGTGGAGTGTATACGTACAACAGAATCAGAGGCCAGCAGGCTACACAGAGAGATAGGATGACGTTTTACAGAAAGTGGTGTACTGTTTCGTGACGGGTACGTTAGATAATGAACTTCCGCAGGGCGTAGGGCCTTCTGGGAAATGTGCATCCGTAATAAATGTCACCGATGGCATGGCAGAAAATCTTTGATACAGTTAATAAATGTTTATTAACAATTAATAAATGCTGATTTTTAAAAAGCAACAGGCTTAAATTTGTCAAAAAATAATTAAACGTTGCATTTGCGAGTGCTTTAACACAAGATGAAAGGATGGAGAGACTCCGTGATGAATTGGAAATCGCTAAGATAGCTTTTCATCTAAAAGTTCTTTACGGCTCTTTTGTTCTTAATTTTTTCGTGTCCGTTTTTATGATTATTGTACTGTACAATAGCCAGGATTGTAACGTAACCCTTGAGAAGGGGACACTTGCAGACCGAAACACGGTTCAGGATTTACATGTGACAAAGGGCATATACAGTGACAATACACAGGATAACCTGAAGTGGGTTCAGCGATTTCGAAGATCGTATTATGTGAGTAGGTTTTTCTTTTGGGTAATTTTTTTTAATCTAATTGGCTTTTATTTACATTATGTTTATACGGTATTTAAAAAATACAATAAAACACGTTTTTGTAAATTGTGCTTATAAAATATTTAATGTTGAAATGAAAATAACGAATTACTAAAGAGTTCTAGCAAATAAAATAATTTCATATAACATAGAATTTGTATCCTTGGAGATTCGCTATAACTGTGTTTTACTGTAAATGCCTGCAACTACATGTATGTGCCGAGGGCTGGAAACTCTTTCAAAACCTTATTAATATTAGAAAATTCACTCGCCAAATGGGTTTCTCTCTAATTTGTTGTTCATATTTTTCCAGTTTATCTAGCTCCAAACTTGGTAACCGGGCGCAGAGTTCTGAGTTATTTTTTCTATTAACGTTTTACATCAGAATATTTCTGCAGCGATTCTGCAGCAGTTTTAGCTTAATATAATCAGAATAAAAAGCATATCTCACTGTATGTATTAAGTAAAGGTACATGTATATCGTTTCACAGTTACTAAAGGGGGTACTGTACATATATATATCGTATGTTTTAAGTAAAGGTACATGTATATATGTAGTTTTACAGTTACTGAAGGGAGCACTATACCTTCACCTTCACAAAAGTATAATCCCAGAACAGAACAGAAATAAAGCGTTGAAACAAAATATAATTTGAGAAATATTTCATGCTATGGTCGTATGAATTATTAAACATGCTGTGTTTTACACGATATACACGTTGATTGTAATTTGTGAAACTTTGATGTGTGTTTATTATTTTGCCATTCCTACTATTTTGTCAGAACATTGATTTATCACGCCCAGAGACAAGGGATCGCTTTCTGAACTTGTTTTAATTTACTAGAGTAACAGAGATTACTGTGGTATATTAACAGTTTGCAGTTTTCGAGGAATAAAACTAGATATCAGCTTAAGAAAGCAGCAATCTCAAAGTGAAAAAATATCAGATATGACCAAAGTAAGGAAGTCAGAGGCAAACAGACCAACATGCAGACAAACCCAAATTACACTAAAATGGATCTAGATCTTGTGTTTATTTCTCATTAAGAATAAGTTAATTCCATCGTTGGCTGCTGGCACAAACCAGAGAATCTTTTAACAACAGTTATTCACGCACTCTAGTGTTAATTATACTGTCGTTAATCGTGAGTTGGAACGGTTTAGTCTGGACCCACATTGCACGTGATGAGACGTAAAGTTGCACGAATTTACACCTGACCCGATTTTAAACCGACAACTTCGGACCAAGCTTCACATCTGGAAATTGGTTAACAAAAGATCGATAGCAAAAGTTGTAAGCGCGTCAATCTTAATCAAATTTGTATTTCAAATTAGTGTTACAATGTTACAAACATAGGGGAAAAATAAATTAAAGAGTGGGAAGGAGTAATATATTACTTGCTTGCAATCTTTTTTTTTAATTTTGAGGTGTGGCTTGGGAGTAAGTAAGTGACCAAGTTAAAATTGACAGCAGGATAGCACAAACGAGGAAACAATGTCTAGAATTTAAAGTTTCAGACCTGAAAAAAGTTTAGATTTATAGTGTCATTTTCAACTATAAATTTGAATTGTGTAGTTTAATAAAAAAATCCGCCGGAGACTAACCTGAATGTCATTTTGAATGTTCACACACGTGTACATGAAAAAGAATGCCCAAAGTAGACTGCCTCTGTAGACTTTCGACGCATCATCCATTGGAAATATCTAATTTGTCTATTGGGGCTAAAGCCGCGTTGGCTCAATAGAAGCGGGTTCTCCTTAAGTCCTGGCTTGATAAGACCAAACACAAGAAATAAATCACCGCCAAACGCTCTACATTAGATGTGGATGTGCCAGGTATAAATACCGAGGCTTATAAGTGATGGCATTTTATAGAACCCTCACTGCAATGACATTATTTTACAGCAAACCTTCGTTTATAACTTGTGACATCTCGATATGAATGAAAACTTCCTGGGCGTTAACTATATACGATAATTTAGTCTACAGGGCTTAATAGATGGAACCTCTCCAAAAACTTTTGTCTGGTAACTTCAAATGCAGCAAGAAAGGCTTTTAATATACAACCAAATCTGAAAAGAATGTTTTGGTTTAGCATGGTCTACTTCCCATTTTCACTACCAATAGCCTATGGAAGGCTAAATATAAGACCTATATTCGCCAGCCACGTTTTGCCATTGAACACCAAAGAATCTTTTTCGTGTCAAAGCTTTCTGTGATATGGGACCTCAATCGGTTTATACGGTTATTTGTAGAATCGGTCTCCTTGTCTCGCAATGAGATTCGAATCCACGACGCAAATATCATCTCTTTACTATGTGACTCTAAAGCATAACGTTCTCACCACTGCGCCATATAGATTCAGAACAGGCGTCCATAAGATATAATTACGCGTTTACGCGGCCCTAGGTGCTGAAATTTAAATTTCTCAAAGCTTGTTGTTACTTAAACACAGACTGTCCCAAAATTATACCGGGACGTCAATGTTGACCGATGAGAGCATGTAAGCTCACTCCCAGGTCGTCGAGGCGAGTTCATTGATTCCTTTCGTTTCGTTTGATTTTCAGGTGTACGTTTCGAGAAATGAATACGTAGAAGAATCACCCTATAAGATACTGAGGGCGGACTTTCTTTCTAAATAAAAAAATAAAAAAGGAACACTTTCCCAAATGAAAATCATTAAAAACAAATTCAAATTATTCTTTAAAATGTTTTAGGGTAATGCTAAACTATTCCCATGTCGCAAATATTTTTTGAAAACATTTTATTAGAGCGCACTCTTTTCCTGACATATTATTCTACATAAATTTTTCAGAACACATCTCGTACAAAGGAACGTTACATGAAAACACATCAATATCCTGGAAAAAGATATTCAATTTTATTTTATTGCAGATAATGACAAAATTCCAAAGAAAAAGCTTTTTTATTGTGATCATATCTGTAGCTTCTGGACCAATGACAGTTTGTTTATTTCCTATCCTCGGATATTGGGCTAATGTGTCATGATTGAAGGCCAAGAAAACCAAGCTAGGCATCTCGTGTTCACATAATGGAATATAGCCTATTTTCACTCATCCAAGCTTATATTTAGTGTAGCCTGATCATCATATTTATACAACATAATGTCACAATTGGAACAGCAGTTTGCCAAATTAGAATGCAATGACAAAATTTCAATAAAACGTTTCCACAGACCAATTAGTGTAGTTTTCTATGAGGACCTTTGGACATTCACAGTCCATCGCGTGTAACATTGAATTAATTTGGTGGGATCAAATGAGTTGTGGGCACTGCCGGGCAGTGTTCCTACAAACTAATATTGATTCTTCACATGTCAGCAGATATCAACCTGAAAAGAAATTATTTCCTTGTCCTCGACGAACAGCGGTGCCTGCCGAAATTATTTCAGCTGAAAAATTCCCTTGTGTGCTTTGTTTAATCAACAAGAATATCTAGTCAATAGAGAAACTGGTGATTAGTCACACCAGGAAAAGAGTGACAGTTCCTTTGCTTCATACAAATACATTGTACCATAAAAGGTCGACTAAGACTTTATAATAATCTTTTCAGTAGACGGCTACGTGAGTCGTGATTATACCAGCTAAGGAACGCATGTGTCGCCTGCGGTATCTACGGATCTGATGCAATAAAAACTGTAACTATGGAGGGTTGCTTTCTATAAACTAGCTCTGGTCCTATGTGTCTCAATGAAAAGAGACATGATTGTGCCCTTACTACTGTCTACATGGTCTTGTGAGTGTTAGATTTTATTGCTGGAACTCGCGCACCATTAGTTGACCTGGAGTTGTCCGGGCACTTTGGATTGATATGTTTAGAGATAGAAAGAGTAAATATTTTATGAATCTTCTAAATCGAATACCTTTAGTATTTTTAGCTCTCCTGAGCCTAAAGTTCAAATGGATTTTCCGATTATATTTCTTTACCAGCTTTCGACAGTTCACTTTTAAAGGTGCTTGGACACATATTTGAAGTTAATATTTTCTCAAATTTTCTGTATAATTTCATGACTTATATGTTGCTATAGCATTTCATACTAAAATATAATAAAAATCTTATTTCATCTCGAAGTTATTAAAACTTCGAATTTCTGGACGCGTTGGATTGACACATCCTTGCGCTTTCTCATATTTTAATTTTATTCTTAATACTTGAGAAAAGTGGCAATTTTGTTGTGTATTAATGAAAAATATTAAAACTATAACCCAGAAAATTCAGAGTAGAAATGTTCGAAAGCAAAACCCACTCACAGTATTGTAAGTCCTTGCTCAGTGGTGTGTGCAGAGTTTAACAATTGAACACACCCGGTGAATCGTAAACATTAACAATAACAGAGCTCGTGCCCTGTTTACAAAAACAGTTTACGTTTCACGGGTGTGTTCAATTTGTTAAACTCTGTACACATCACAGAGCACGGACTGACAATACTGGTGAGTTGGTTTTGCTTTCGAACATTTCTATTCTGAATTTTCTGGATTATAGATAAATATTTTTCATTAATACATAAGAAAATTGCTTCTTTTCTTAAATATTAATGATAAAGTTAAAATTTGTGTAAGTGCAAAGATGTGTTAATCAAACGCGTCCCGGAATTCGTAGTGTCCAATAATTTCCAGATAAAATCAGTTTTTTAATTATATTTTCGTGTGAAATGCTTTTGCAATGTATAAGTCGTGATATTATACAGAAAATTTGAGAAAATATTAAGTTCAAATCTGTGTCTAAGCACCTTTAAAGGGGTCTGGACACAGTTGCATTATTTACAATTTTATTTAAAAAATAGCTTCATTTTAATGATTTGAACTTACATGAATATTTTAAGAGTTCAATAACAATATTCTTCATAACATCACGTCAAACACCTGTATTTGTAAACAGAGCACGAGCTCTTTATTGTATGTGTTTACATGTACGTTTTACCGGGTGTGTTCAGTTAGATTAGTCTGCACACATCACCTGTGCACGGACTGACAATACTGGTGAGTTGGTGTTTTCTCGTATTTCTACTCTGAACTTCTGGATTATAATTTTCATATTTTTCATTAATAAACAGCAAGTTTTAATAATTTTGGGATAAAAGAACTTTCTTAACACGCTTTTAATATATTTCAGCGTGAAATGCTCTAGCAACATACAAGTGATGATATTACTAAAAAGAATTTAGAAAAATATGAGCTTCAAATCTGTGTCCCAGCCCCTTTAACATTTTGGACTTCTTTAAAATTATCGGACTAAAATCTACCAAACTTGGCACTAAGCATTTTTGGTAGGCCTAAAGGATATTCAATTTTGTTCAAATAATTGGCCACGATCTTTCGAAAGGGGAGATGATCAAGAAAACGCAAAAATAGTTGGGTGTCTCAAAAAAATCTGGGCAAAAATAGATGAAACTTATTTGAAAGCTTTCTAGTACAATGTAGATCTAGATTCAAATTTATTTGGTCCACAGGGTAGGATGGGTGAAACTAAGTTTTACATGGGAATATATAGTTAGAAAATCTTTAAATGGCTTCTCAAATTATAATCTCGGGGCGGTAGGGGACACAATGGGGGATCAGAGTTTTACTTGGGAATAAACTGTTAACTTTTGATCATTTTTTATTAGCTAGACCTTTATTTACACTATATAACATGAGACAACCTGCTCGCAATTTTAATTTTTTGTATATTGATTTTGCATCATATAAAAGATTATATAGCAAAAAATCGTGATTTATAGTCGCCCGCGTGGCGCAATGGTTAGAGCATTTGCTCAAGAGTTGCAGAGTAAGGAGTTGATCCTTACGTCGCGGGTTCGAATCCCACTGTGGGATGTGGAGACCGTATAAACCGAGGTCCCGTGTTGCAGTAGATGCTGGCACGAAAAAGATCCCTCACTGCTCAAAGGCCCTAAGTGCCGAGCATAGGTCAGAATTTGCAGCTCTCCACCTGCAAGTGGTGGCGTTTCGATATGAGTGAAAAACTCTCGAGAGGGACGTTAAATAACAAACAATCAAATATTTATATCGCGAAAATAAATTGTTGCAAAAATTTATGATCTACTTTGTAGGAACTTTTTAAAAAAATCTTCCCAATATAAGCAATTCCAAACTAAATCATATTAATATGCAAACATTCTTATGATAAATTGTGTTGGCTCATTTTTTTACTGATGGATTAGGATGTGGCTAAACTGGGGATCAAATTTCAAATCATGCATGTTTACAGGAGGAAAAAATCATATGAAAATCTATTTTTCCGGAACAGCAATGTTATGTTAGTCATTGTAAAGCATCCCCGGGTTGAAGTTTGGATAAATAATAACCCCTTTCCTTGGAGTTAGGGTTGAGTCAAATCATGTGGTCAAATTTTCTCCTAGGAAAAAGGGGGAAATCTTTTAAATTAAAGTCTTCTTTAGAAGAACATATGACTAAGGTGAGAGTTGTGGCCCCGGGGCCTCTCGTTAATAATGTACCTATGTAGAGACTCGGGTTGTCAGTTTTTCTTTCTATCAAAACAGTGAGTAGAATCATTTTAAGAACCCTCTATAAACTGCACACTGATGAGTGATACATGTATCATTCTATTTTAATGCAGTTAAAAGTGATCTGATTTTAGATCCAAAAAAGAAAGTGCATTCTAATGAGTGATGAACAATTTGAAATCAATTGTAGTATCCTAAACAATACATAAAATCAAAATAAAGTAATTGAATACTTCCTTTGCATGTTTTTACCCATTTAAGAAAGCATTAGTGAATTTTGTTCATCAATAATTTGCCCCATTTGTTGTCCGAGACATTTTCCTAGGACAGAATGGCAGGTGGTCTACAGAGAAAATGAAAAAGGCGAAAAAATTTTCGCCTTTTTACAATTATAGTTTTCTGAAAATCAAAAAAAGACTTTTTTCCATCAGTGGATAGAGTGTTCTTGAAGGTTATTCAAAGATAACCATTGTATGTTTAAAAGTTTTTGCCAGGCAAAATAAGTACGTATTTCTTAAAAATACAGAGTGTGACGGCAGCATAGCATGCCAAACCAAAAAAGTACTGCCAGTGCTCAAAAATTTAAAAAAAATACAAGCATAAACATTCATTTCCGTTTTTTACACTGTAAGTAAAACAAGCTTCCAAAGAGGTTAAGGTGATGCCAAAAAGAGCAGGTCCTGAGTATACAAAAATGTAAGGCGAATTATGCAAACAAACGAAATACCCGAGCAAACACGAAGTGATGGATCGCATGGCTTTTAGCCAAGTTTGCGATTTGAAATATGTCCGACCTTTCATGCATTCTGTTTAGATTATTTATGATCATTTAGTGTACAAATGAACTTGTTTGAACAATCGACAGAAAATAGCTGGTATTGAACACATAATGGCTTTTTGCCAAAGATATATGCTTTTTTAACTTGAAAATATTTAAAGATAGTGCATTAACTTAATAATATCCTAAATTTGAGTGTGTATATCGAACCTGTCATTTTCTCGCCAAAGTCCATTAAGGTCGTCCTCTGTTGACCCATATAAAGTCTTATTTTAACGATACTCTTTTCCAAAAGAAAACTAATTATATAATTAATGCTAGAAAAATTTGACAGAAATTGTCTTTTAATTTAACAATTGTACAAAGAAATAATAGTAATTTATCCAGTGAAAAGCAAGAGTTTATTCCTCTTATTAGAGGGTCAAAGAACCTCGAATCACAAAATTTAAATATAAAAAAGAGGGTTTCTTTTTTTACCTACGATCTCGTAAAATGTTTGTTGTTTTTTGCTTTTCCCCCGTTTAATTCATTCTAAGAGTAATACTGCTTTTATATGTATTTTTGATCATTTATAACATTTTTAGTACGCTAAATGTTTCTAGTTTCAGAATCATAACTGTGAAACATTTCTTCGAGTTTGCCGGAACTCTCAAGGAGGTGAGTTATAAGACTTTGTACATTACTCAAAATGCGTTAACATGTGTAAACCAGACCCCTGTCATAGAATTTTCCCCCATATATTTTCTAGATATAGGGTAACTGTGTAAGATAAACAAATTTTACATAAAATATGAATAGCCATACAACATTTAAAAAGACTTACATGTACACACGTATGCCCCCCGCACTTTTTCTTAATATAGTATTTTGCTATGGTTAATTTCACTCTTACACTAATACTTTCTGTTGCACTGATAATATGTTTAAATCTAAGGCTATTAGGGTTGAAAATTCTTTGAAAAATGAAAAAGTGATGCAAATTTATGACAAAAAAGGTTTTCAAAAAAGTATTTAATCAATTGGTCGACCTATTGAAAACATTTCAATTTCGGCAAATACTGTAATCAGGACATCATGCTTACATTAGTAGACCTGTTTTTGTATTCTTGTAAAGCAAAATTTATTCAAAAACTTCAAAATGAAAAGAAAGCCTCTTGGTGTGGCCTTCAGTTTGACACATAGATATATATCGACGACGTTTATTCAATTAACAACATTCATTTTCATTTCTACTTTCATACGATATATCCCACTGAACTCGAAATAAAGATACCACAAAGTCTGACACATCTGTTACATGTCTGGATGTTTTACTAGAAAAAGACACTGATAGCAAACTAATAGCTTAATTTTTGATGAACGTGATGACTTACACTTCTATCGTCAACTTTACTTATTTATGAAGCAATATACCATTGTCACGTGCATATGGGGTTTATGTCCCCCAGCTGACTCGATACGTAAAATCATGTTCTTTGTACGTAAAATTTCTAAAACGAGACAGGTTACTGACAAATAAGTTGATGATACAAGAATATCAAAATCTCGTTTTAAATCATCATTTTGCAAATTTTATGGCCTTTTCAATGACCTTGTTTGTAAATAAAATCAATTGCTGGGTCGAATTTTGACTGACAATATCATGCAAATATTGTTACGCCATTATTTTCACATTGTATTATGTACGGATTTTTCTGTTTACCCAATCATGACAAGGATCACACGGCGGGTGTGTCGGGGGGGGGGGGGGGGGGCTCACTCTTCCATAGCTGCTGATACTTCCTCTGTTTTCAGAGGTCTGCGTTTGCTCTGCTTCACATTTTGTATTGTATCATAGGAATTTTATCATCATTACTGCTCTTTATAATTTATATTCACATTTTATTGATAAACAAATATCTAGTGAAACGTAAATTGACAACACAGAAGGTTTAACTTTTTGAACGGCCATGTCTCATGAAACCAGATTTAAAGTATATTATTGATACCGAGTTTATTTTTATGCTCCCGGATCGAAAGATCCCGGGGGTATATTGTTTTTGTCCTGTCTGTCTGTTTGTCTGTCTGTCTGTTGTCAACTTTAACCTTGCCCATAACTTTTGATTGGTTGGAGCTATGACTTTCATATTTCACATGTGTATTCCTTGTGACAAGACCTTTCTTTGGGTACCATCATATTTGACCTTTTGACCTTGACCTTGGAGATTGACCCACTTTAGCAAAATTTAAGAGACTTTAACCTTGGCCATAACTTCTGAACAGTTGGTGCTTGGGGTTTCAAACTTCACTTGTATATTCTTTGTGACAAGGCCTTCCTTTGGATACCAACAACTTTGACTTTGACCTCGAAGTTTGACCTACTTTTGAAAAGCTTTAACCTTGGCCATAACTTCTGAACGGTTAGAGCTAGGGCTTTCATACTTCACATATGTAATCCTTGTGACAAGACCTTTGTTTGGATACCAACTACTTTGACCATTTGACCTTGACATAGGAGTTTAACCTACTTTCGAAAAACTTTAACCTTGGCCATAACTTTTGAATGGTTGGTGCTAGGGCTTTCATACTTTACATATGTAATCCTTGTGACAAGACCTTCCTTTGGATATCAACAACTTTGACCTTGACCTTGATGTTTTACTTACTTTTAAAAAACTTTAACCTTCGCCATTACTTTGATCAGTTGCAGCTAGGGCTTTCAAATTAAACATTTTTTATCTTTTGGCCTGGATTTTGACTTGCATTTGAGAAACTTTAACCTTCGCCATAAGCTGCCATACGGGGGCATCAGTGTTTCACAAACACATCTTGTTGTAAAGTGGGTTTTGACCATGTTTATGCATTCTTATGATCCTGTACCTTACTAGAGTTTTCGACATCTCAGTACTGCATATAAATTGTGTGACTTAATTTTGTATCGCATCAAAGGTGAAATGTGAATTTTAAAAAAAAATATGCTTATTATATCTTTAGCTTTGAAAATTTAACACAGTGTTTTTTGATTTGTCTATCGAAATGTATTCAAAATTAAGTGCCATATCACCTGTTAGCATTTTCTTGTGTATCATGTTATATAATGATGTATTTCTGTTCATCATTAATGATCTTTTTCTTTGACTAAATGTGGCCATTTCATTGATGTTTAATAGAAGTACGACGAGACAGTATCCTTTTTCATAGAGTTTTATGAATTTTTTTTTTCTTTTACTTTGCAGAATTATATTTATTAAAGGGAGAAAAGGGCGAGAAAGGCAACACTGGCTACGATGGGACCAGAGGTAATCCGGGACAAGTTGGGCCGCGGGGTGAGTCTCCAGGCTTCCTAGGAATGTTAGAGCAAGATTAAAAAAAAAACTAAACAGTATGTATTTAATTCTTCAAAAAAAAAAAAAAACAGGCTCATGCAGACATGTTTCTTCAAATTCTTGTCAAAATTTGGGCTACGTTTCCTTATTTATAAGGAGCTCCAGGAAATCCTGGACCGACTGGACCCAGAGGACCTAAAGGAGAAGAAGGACTTCCGGGACTTAGAGGTTTACCTGGAGAACGAGGATCACAGGGAAGAGAAGGTATCATTTCGATCACTATTATACAATATGCGTACTGTATCAGCTTCGTCCCTCTGTACCCGAATGACTTAATATTTTGAGGGTTAGTGTTCGTTTAGCTTCAGATTTTTATTAAAGGCAGGCCTGGTCTTCCCGGATTGAGAGGAGCCAAAGGAGATCAAGGGAAACAGGGGCTTCTGGGATTTCCTGGCGAAAATGGAAGCAAAGGTCTGTGAAAAAAAACCATGAGATCCACGCCCACTGTGTCCTGAATACAGTATGAATTATAACAAACCAATGACAGTTTTTCTGTATCACATGCGCTTATGAAATTTTGTAGGTCCTCGGGGAGAAAAGGGGGATAAAGGTGATGAAGGACCTCGAGGATTAGAGGGTCCTATCGGACGTTACGGACCACCAGGTATCTATACATTGAAGTTTTGTGGTATCTAAAGGATTTCTTCTTTGAGTGCCTTAATGTCAATAATGTTCACAGTTTTGTGGTATCTAAATGATTTCTATTTTGAGTGACTCAGTGCTTATAATGTTCACAGTTTTGTGGTATCTAAAGGATTTCTTCTTTGAGTGCCTTAATGTCAATAATGTTCACAGTTTTGTGGTATCTAAAGGATTTCTTCTTTGAGTGCCTTAATGTCAATAGTGTTCACAGTTTTGTGGTATCTAAAGGATTTGTTCTTTGAGCTGCCTCAATATCGATAATGTTCACCGTTTTGTGGTATCCAAAGGATTTCTTCTTTGAGTGCCTTAATGTCAATAATGTTCACAGTTTTGTGGTATCTAAAGGATTTGTTTTTTGAGTGCCTTAATGTCAATAGTGTTCACAGTTTTGTGGTATCTAAAGAATTTCTTCTTTGAGTGCCTTAATTCAATAATGTTCACAGTTTTGTGGTATCTAAAGGATTTGTTTTTTGAGTGCCTTAATGTCAATAGTGTTCACAGTTTTGTGGTATCTAAAGGATTTCTTCTTTGAGTGCCTTAATGTCAATAATGCTCACAGTTTTGTGGTATCTAAAGGAATTGTTCCTTGAGCTGCCTTAATGTCAATAATGATACAGTTTTTGGTATATCTAAAGGATTTTTTCTGTGTTCTCCATATAGGGCCCTATGGACCAAAGGGAAACAAAGGTGACCGGGGACCGACCGGCTCCAGTGGCTATCCAGGTGATAAAGGTAACAATTTTTATTGCTTTATCTGCACCATTTTGTATCTTTTCTGATTACTTGATAACTTGAAGAAGAAAAGAATAAATCTACTGAAATAGCTTTGTAATATTAGCTTTACCGTTGTACTTTTATACACTAGCGAACTGTGCAAAAACTATTTATGTTTTATAGATATTTTATTCAGGAGAAAATTATTTTCGTGTTATTACACGAGTCGGTCTTCTCTCAAAAATGTCCTTCTCGTGTTTATTTGTGTAAATAAAGATTATTTACAACATTAACCGAATTTCGTGTATAAATACCAAAATAACTCTCGCGAAAATAATGTGTCGTGAAAGCTTTTCTACAGTAAACGGTTTTTAAATCGTGTCCGGGTCATTGTAAGACAAATTCATCAAACCTAGTCAGTTCAATATCTTCAGGCATTTTGTAGTCATAGCTCCAATATAATACTCTAACACCATATCAAAGTGCTTGCAATATGCTTGTGGGCCCCGAAAAGGGGTGGGAATATGATTTGAAAGAAACAAGGGAAATTGTGCTGCAAGCTAGAACACAGTTATACACCCGTCATGAAAAATGTCACCTTAAGTTACAAGGGAATATGACCTTTGGTGTCAGGGTGAGGCCTCATGAATATCAATATCTTGCATCAGAAGAAAGAAGAAAGAAATATAAACAAAGAATAGCATTCAATTTTGTCATCTTGACCTACAAGCATCAATGCATGAATTTCATGAAAAATATGGCCTATGGGTTAGTTTTGAGCGATGGAGCTCAAGATCACATCCGTCTGTCTAGTAATTTCATGGTTACTGTGTTCTTACGTAAAAATACAATAAAGTGAATTTACTGTCTTATTTTTTGTAGGAGATGTCGGGGAGAAAGGGGAGAGAGGTAATCATTTAATCATTAATGGAATCTGGAATGCTCTGATCGATAAACAGAATACCAATACTTTCCAAGAGATCAATGTTTCATATAAGTAATATTTGACAAAACCATGCCAAATAATATAGTTGTTAAAATTTACTTGTAGCGACGTTTCTTCCTTTTTTTTTTATAACAGATTCTTTTTTTATTGAATTATAATTGATTAAATAAATAAATTCATCAGCATGATTCTTTAATCTCATTTGCAGACTTTTTAAATGTATTTTGTTTGACCATTCTTTCTAACTAGAATAAGTGCACTAATGCATAACTGCTTGTGAACAGGATGATTCTGTCGAGGTATTCACTTTTTCCGTGTAAAAGTCGTGTGAGCAAGATTTTGCAATATCCATGTTCCTGATTCCTGACTAGTCTTCTGTTTTTGTAACAGTTTTGTACCTCAGATATTTTTGCCCATTTAAACAGCTATTAAATGACTTTATTATCTTTCTGAATTTTAAAATGGAATCTAACCCCCGTTCACTCAGAGCTGCGACTTTACGACGATCATCCCGATCAAGCCACGATCTGAAAAAGTTTTGGATCGGGGTGGATCGGCTCCGATCTGCCCTGATCCAAAACTTTTTTCAGATCGTGGCTTGATCGGGATGATCGTCGTAAAGTCGCAGCTCTGTGTGAATCGGGGGTAAGCGACTGATTACTCCGTTGGAATTTTAAGACTTTTTCTTCCCGCATTAAAGCAATTGCAGGGTTTTTTTTTTAAATACTGAGTCATAATTTTTGATATTCCCAGTTTCCTCTAGGGTTTATTAAAATTGTTCCAAATTTCACCCCTATAACAATTTAATGTAAACTTTTATCACATTTTCCGTCGATTTTCTAGGAATTTTTAAATTGCTTCCGTTTTTTCTGATCTAAAATGTGCGGGATCAACTTTACAGCTATTTTCTTCCACCTTATACAATGAAATGTTCTTCTTTCTGGCAGTCACTCTCCCGCCTCGGTCAGTGTTGTTTTTCTGCTTGGAAACTGATTAAGGTTTTCCAGACTGTTTGATATTTTCAACTGAATCTCTGCTTTGTTTGAAATGTTCGATCCATTTGTAAAAGATAGATACAACATACGTAGTTGTTTCAAAGTTTATTTTCCCGCAATAATTAGAAAAATGTCCTTTCGATTCGGAAAATTCTTTCGTTCTTCATTATCCCAGTGCACTAAAGGTGGGTCTGGGAAAAGTGGTTTAGATAAAGACTGCTTTGTGAGAAGTTTGTGATTACGGGTCAATTCAGTAGTAATGGAAGATAGAAACATTTCGAGATATGGTAAATTCATTTCAATGGGGTACACAGTTGTGACAGTATTTAGTGAATAGCCACCAAACAATATGCTTTTATAACGCTTAAACAATATACTTGCAAGTTGATATAGGATGTTTTAAATTTTGTTGGTCAAATTTTTTGTTAAGTTTGGTTTGTGATTTAATTTGTATTAAGGTTACCCCGGATACCCAGGACCTATTGGACGACAGGGACCCAAAGGGGAAAAGGGCGAATGTCAAGGTGAAAGATAAGGATGGATTTATTACCTGCTGAATCTGAATTAAATTATGATTCAATTCCAGTAAAATATATGTTGCTTAAGCGTGCATCAGTCTTTGTTTCCAATTCATTCTTTTAGGTGTTCGACATTTTTTTTTTTATATATTTTTGTACATTTTGCGTACCTCTACTAAATACTAAGCCCTCTTTTAATGCAGTCTTATTTATCGTTTTATTAACGGCAGATTAAAAGTAAAATAATTAAATAGAAGGCAAGAAAATCATGTACACATATTCAAATTTTTCATTTTCATGAGTAAATTATATATTTTAACTTTTTTGTATTTCCATGCAGTATTAACTTTCAACGTGGAAAACTTAAAAATGGAAAAAGACGCTACCAATCGTCCAGGTAATTTAACAGGAAGGAATTATATTGGATATACAAGATGTACCTTGTAAATATTTTTCATGAAAGTCCAGATTTGACAAATTTGATATCAAATGAAACTTTCATTAATTTTCACAACCTAATTTTAATTTCAAAAATTAAAATGGGTGGTCTTTTTATTCCATTAAGTTTCTATACACAAAAACCAATTATGCACAAAACCGTTGAAAAATATTCTTTAACGAACATGAGCTATAATATTTACTTACACCATATCGTAAAAAAATATTCAAATTATTTATTTACTCATTATAAGAAAAGGTCAGTTAAAATTGGAATTATCACTTTGATAATGCTAAGGTCACTGAAGAAAAATATAAAATGATAATGTGGGCTTTTAGTTTTTATCGGAGCAACTTGGTGAATAAAATGTGTGGAAATACTCTTGAAACTTGGGTGGTTGTGGAGACAAACAGACGACTGTCTGTACAAGTAACATATCCGTACAAAGAAAACTTCAAATATATCAGCTTTTTTTTCGCTCCACTAGTCAGAGACCAGAAGAGCTTGTGCGATAGTAAGGTGCCCGTCCGTCTGTCTGTCTGTAAACAATATTTCAAAATGCTACTCCTCCTACAGTCTTGGTCTGATTACAGTATATAAACTTGGCACACAAGTAGACTACACTAAGATACATAATTCTCTATATCGGTTTTTGATTATGAACGACGTTGCCATGGTTGCTAAAAATAGAAATTTCTGTGAAATAAATTCAAAACGTAGCTCCTCCTTTAGTTTTGGTTTGATTTCAATATTGGTTGTATACAGGTAAAATTGCAACGTATGTTCATCATATGTTAAACATACGTTGCAATTTTACCTGTGTAGACTACACTGAGATATATAGTTTGGTATATCGGTTTTTGATTTCGATGAATGATGTTGCCATGGCTACTTAAATAGAAATTTCTGTGAAATACGTTCAAAACGCTACTTCTCTATTCTCTTTGGTCAAATTTTCAATAAATCTTAGCACTCAAGTAGACTACACTAAGATATATAATTTTGTTTATCGGTTTATGTTGCCATAGTTACTAAAAATAGAAATTTCTGTGACGCTATTATTCTCGCGGTTTTTTTCCGATGTCAATAAAACATAAAACACTAGTTGGCTACACTAAGATACCTATTTTGTGCATCGATTTTTTATTTCGATGAAAGATGTTGCCATGGGTACTAAAAATAGAAATTTCTGTGAAGTACATTCATATCACTACTCCTCCTACAGTTTTGGTTAGCTTTCAATATAACTTGGCACACAAGTAGACCTTAAGATTCATAATTCTGTATATCGGTGTTTCAATGAATGGTGCCATGGTTACCATAAATAGAATTTTTTCTGTGAAATATTTTTAAAATGCTACTCTTCCTACAGTTTTAGTCTGATTTCAATATACACGTACACGGCACACAAGTAGACCACACTGAGATACATAATTGTCTTTATCGCTTTTTTGATTTTGATGAACGATATCGCCATGGTTACTAAAAATTAAAATTTCTGTAAAATTCTTTCTAAAGGCTACTTCTCTTACGGTTTTAGTTTGATTGCAATAAATCTTCCCACAAAAAAGAGACTAAACCAAGGGTCATTATTCTATTTATTGCTATCACAGTTTCAAGTCCAAGTGCTACATTTAGTACAAACCAGTAGAGCTATGTACAGTATCGACAGAGACTTCTGGTTTTTGTTAACGAAGACTTCTTTCCTTTTGCAAAGTCATTTATTTTTATTTGATTTTGGGAAAAGCACCAGTGCTTTGCTTTAAACTTTAGTTCACGTGTTTTTCGTACAATGATGAATGAAGATTTTTTTTTTTTAGTACGCACTCCACAAAGGGATACATACGGTAAGTCAATATTACATATCCGATTAAAGGCATGTTGTGAAGTAATTTACTTTATCTCTGACGGAGGCTGTAATAGTTTTAACTAACAGCTGAGCGAAAAAAATGCACTTATTTATTTATTGTTGTATTCTTTCTGAGAAGACCGCCGAAATATGTCGGAAATATTGCCGACTCGGCGTAAAACAACAATAATTATCAATCTTTCTGAGAAGAATGTACTGTTAATGATAGACATTTATTATATCATTTCTTTTTTTATGCGGTAACGCTATACAAGCTCAAAGTACATGTAGTTATTTCTTCGTAACTTGAAAACATGGGTTACAAATTTATTTTTAAAAAAATCAATAAATACATGTACATACTAATATTGCGGACGCCATCTGAAAAAAACCCTCTTTTTTTTAAAGTAATTTGGAAGATACCTCTCATTTAATTTTAAAATTAATACAGTTTTTGAAGTGCTATATGTACCCAGTTGTGGTCTACATTTTAATTGGGAGAAACCTTCGAGTCCATTTTGAACAGTTGACGGCCAAATAGACACAGGCTCTTCAGCTTAGGCGAGTGGAAACTTTCACGATAAAAGTACACGGAACACCTAGATGGTTTATAATTATTTATTTATGTCGGAAAGGTGAAGATGGGCCTAATTTTAGTGTTGTTTACGGTCATGGATAACTTGGGTTACCTCGAGGATAATTTGGCGTGAGGCCCGAGGTGTTAAAATTGTCATCAAATGATAATTTTCTCCGTAAATTAATATAGCAATGTGAACAAAAGCAATTTCTCGTTCTACAAACGTGTAGACAATCGACAGCTGTCATCTAACGCTGACCCGATGCTTCTGTTTCACAAATTAGTAATTATATTGGTATTAATTTCTACTTTAAGAATAATAATGCAGGCATCCATTAGACGGGGGAGAAAATGTTTTCTTTTTCTGCTGCGAAACCAAAAATCTGTAACCTTTTTTCTACGTTTCGAAATTCCCTTCGTTTAGTTAATTACAACTGAAGAACCTCACGTGCAAAATTTAATGTGCCCTGAAGAGCAAATTACGATTTTAAAAAAAATACAGATAGATGTAATTAAGGTAAAAATATAGGTCGCATGCCCTTTTTTGTCAAAACGTTTTTAGTGTTAAGTGCACTTTATATCTTACATTGCATGCCGTGAACTACGTGTACTCTGAAGTTTATTACCTGATGGAATTAGAGGTGCTGCGAGATCAATGATCGGGCATGGCCTTCATCAAATCGTAATATTCAACAAAGGAATTAAGTTTTCATATAAATGTATCTTTGTAGCAAGTATATCTCGGAAGTATTAATTGGACAACAGCTTCCATTCATTCTTTATTTCCTCATTATATGCGATAATTGCATTTAGCAAAATCATCATACAAAATTATACAAAGCCGAAAAGAAAGGAAACAAAAATAAGCGGCGAAGAAAAATGTTTATTTATTTTTCATCTTTTCCGCATATTTTATTTTTCTTTCTTTTGGCTTTGTATAATTTTTAATTTTTAATGTGTAATGCTTATGTACAATGTAACAAGTCAAACAAGCATAGACGGAGATCTGACTACCTGTTAGCCCCCACTGACATATGTTGATGCTTGGCAAGGTGAAAATGTTCCGAAGCATCCTGCACAAGCTAATAGCCCCTAACGCTGAAAATTTGAACGTCATAAGCTTCTATCTCAGTGCTCGGACAACAGATCTCTTCGGTAAGCTCACATAGTTTATGTCCCTCCACCATTTGTTTCGAATGTCCAACATGGTCAGGCACGAACAGGTTACAGCTCACTCCTCCATGGCACCTGATCCCACCTCTAAATTTTGAGGTCCGTGTTTGCTTTGCCGCAAATTTGTAGCGTTTCATTGTACTTTCGAGATTGAATACTGTTCTTTATCTTCATATTTCATTCATGAACAAACAAGTCACGGAATGTTGCCCCGCTGAAACGACAGATATCCAGAGAAACTTGTGGACGATCAGAAAGGAGTTCGCATATGAACTTTCATAAGCGAATCTCACAGCAATTTTTAGGTGTTCTTCAAAGGAAGATGGATCATTTTCAACGAAGACTGCGAGAAATCTTGAAAAAATCTATGTCGTTCGCCCTACGACATCTTCTAGGGTTCCTAGTAATCGTGGATCTCGCAATGTGTCTCAAGAGAATATGGAAGGAAAGAAGCCCTTAGCTAGCCAATCGCACAGAAATTGTACATGATCATATATACAGATAAGTTAATGACATCTGGATCAAATCCTTGCTGGCAATATCCTAGATTTAAAGATAGGGAAATAAACAGACTAGAAATATTCTCTTTGGAAAGGTGTTACAGATAATACGACAAAGATGTCCAAAGAACAGGATTTTCCTCAACAGGACGTTGAAGAGGCATTCGCAGATATCGGATCTAGTTTGACGTGAATTCTTACGTATAGAATGTTGAAAGACATTGAGGCGTTGAGAATCTGCTGCTGATAAATTATTCTAGATTTCACAGCCGTACAATACGGAAGGGAGGATGATAGATTTGTAGAAATGAACTAAGGATAATGGATTAAGGTGGGGTCCAATACCTGTGAAAGTTTAAAAGGAGTTTCTTCCTTTCCTGCAGGCAGCCTTCATCCGATCTGTAAAAGAACATATTCTTTTGAGAATAATTCCTAGATGATTACAGGAGTCGGGACAGTGAATAGGAACTGTTTTTACAAAACCTATAGTCCAAACTGGTTAGCTTTGTTGCCCTTTGCTTGGAATCGAACAGTACAAGATTGAATTTAAAACGCCATTTTCTGGAATATTCATATGCAAAGTTTAAAACAATTTGAAAGGAGTTGGGCGTTGAATCTCTTTCCAAAGAAACATTGCTAATTTTGTTTTTCTCAAAATGATATGTTAGCACTATCACGTACTCAAGAGAGCTATCATGACATGCTTGCTGTGGATTTAAAATGTGGTTGAAATTTTACATAAAATTAATGTATGATTTTTTTTTTATTTACCTCTTAAGAATGTTAAGTCACCTAACTTTAAATTTATAAGATTTGTGGTATTTCTAAGTTCTCTTTTGAAGAACACACTTGCACTGTGCCTAATATGTAGTTGCAAGCATACTGTAGTTTAGATTCCATTTTGACAGTATATGGCACTGAGTGCGTGCCAGACTGTTGGAAAAACAATAGGGATACCCTGAGAATATTAATATTGGAGTTTGTGTCTCCCAGTTGATTCGATACGCAAGAGCATGTTCTATGTACGAACAATTTCTAAAAAGAGGCAAGCTATTGACAAATAAGTTGATGATGCAAGGATATCAGCAATCCCTGTTAAAGTCAACAATTCAAAAATTCTATGGTCGATACAACGACCTTGTTAGCAAATACAATCTTGACTGACAATTTTCATGAATTTTTTGAATGTCTTGTTTAATTCATTGCTCCGTTTCAAACAAAGTCATGTCCGCCAACATAATTTGTATTTGTGCACCATATTTAAATTGTGTTCCGGAGGTTTGATGGTTGTTTGATGATTATTCTGAAATATACTAATCGCGGAACACTTCTAGTATACCGGTCCCTATAAATATGGCGCTAAAATAGGTGCCGCCGAAGGCGGTGTACAATATAATACGATCGCGTGAGCGATCGACAAAATCGATAAAAAAGGCCACAAATCGCAAAATTGAGCCAAAAATCGTGTTCCTTGTGAAAAATTGGGTTTAAAAAACTGGTTTTTAAACACAGTTTTTTAAATGAGAATTAAAAGGTTTTGTAAAATAACGTACTTGTTTAGTAGATAAAACTCCATTTTGCGTTGTTTAGGAATGTGGTCACATGATCAGCTTTTGACGTAATCTCATAAATATTCATGACGTGCGTCACTTGTGTTTTGACGTAATGAAGACTTATGAAGAAGTAGTTGATAGGACTCAAAGTGAAATGCTACTAAAATTGCAAGATTTTTGTGAGAAATGCAGGGATTTAACAAGTGATAACTAATTACTAGTAATTGGTTGATTGAATTGTGCATCACCATTGATTTGAAAGAAAAAATATTCTGAATATGGACATTAGGAGGTTAGGATATCGAGCTAAGTAAACGGTAAGTCGCTTTTACCAATTACTTGCCAAAACTTAGCGCACAATATCGGGCACGTTTCAACATTAGACCAAGGCTAATTCATCCAAGTTTCGCAAAAAACTTTCCTGTTCTTCCGGTTCTTTGTAAGCAAAAATTGTATTAATAACTTCAATAAGCCCAAAGTGATATAGATGCGAGCATGGGTGAATGTAAAACAGTTACAATATCCGAGCTATTTATATTCTAACCCTAATCCGTAGGTCGCATACAGTGCCATATTTAATTAACGTTTTGTTTAAGTTTTGCATGTTTCATGCTTTACTCCTATAAGATGGTATATCGGCACGGTTCGACATTAGGCTGATTCATGCAAGTTTTTGGTCACAAAAGGCACTTGGCAGTGCCTTTTGTAAGCAAAAATTACATGAATTAGCCCGAAGTCAGGAAGATTTAAGAGTGGATTTATAAAACAGTTCCAATCTTAAAACAATATACCCTAACCCTAATCACTCGATCGAATGCGTTTTGTTGAAGCGAGGGGAAAATGGCGGTTTGTTTACATTCTGCATAGCAACGGCAAGGGAAATAACTGCTCATGCGCAATCGCGTGATTCTGGGGACCGGCATACTAGAAACTTCCCCTAATCGCAAATAAAAATTCATTTCATTTTCTTCTTTCAGAGGAAATGTCAAATGCTAGAGGACTGAGTGCCGGAACAAAGCCATTCGTGATTAATATTTATATGCTGTATTTATTGCTTTTCTTCTGTGCAGTCTGCTGACATTAATCTCCGTAAGTGCAAGCAACGTCATTAATTGTGTCTGTTGTTACATTACCAGCTGTATTGTAGCATTGCAAGCTATTTTCATTTGTCCGTTTATTTTGTTTGTTTTTTTTTTTAAATCTTGATTTATTTGTTTTGTTTTTTACTTTGTGTTAATGTTTTTGATGTGCTTTCAAATAATTATTATTTGCTTTGTTTACATATTGTAACTAATCTATCTCTTTAAATTGAAAACATTTTATTTGGAAATTGTGTAGTGTGCTTTTTTCCCTTTTCATATGTTAATTCATTGAGCTTTGTTCTTTTTTACTTATTTGTTTGGCTATTTTGTTTGTTTTTGTTTTGTTTTGTGTGTGTGTGTGTCACTTTACTTATTCATCTGACGTATTGCTGTGGGTTTTTTTATAGAACGGTACAAAAGTGTGATTCGCATGTCACCAGCTTTTCTTGGGCATGAGGAGTGTGGCCAAAACTTTCAAAAAATTCTTGCATTTTCTATACTCCTGAACACACGTTTGCACGATTATAATGAGAAGCAAGTTATCCTCCTGTGTAATTTACGTCCCCTAGGTATAGGGTTCAGTGGCCCTTTTCACAAAAAATCTTACGAGTAGGATGAAAATTTGATAATATTATAATTTTCTTTAAAACATCATTAATTTTACAATGTAGACTAATAGAATAATGTTAAGATTTCTTGTGACTAACTACAGCTTAGGTACTTGTTTAAAAATGGAAGAAAAAATTGGCTTAGTCTAAAGTATTTTTGTGAAAGCCACATGCCCCAAAGTCAGAAAATTTTGGCCATATATTGAAAAACCTCCCTTTTCTGCCCTAGCATGTACATGTAGAAGAAAAACCTCGTGTAATGCGATAGTGAACAGACTTTTCTGTCAGACACATGTAGCAACGTCAAACGACTCCAGAGTTTAGTCCGATAGTGGGATAGGTTGGTCATTCATACACTCAGGTGACTGTTAAGGCTCATGGGCCTCTTTTTGTATCTCTTAAATAATTTCAGAAGGCATTTTTCCATCTCAATTTTTTTTCCAGCCTAGTTCACCTGTAGAAGTTTTGTGAGAGGAGAGAGAGATGGAGGACTGGGATAGTACGGTGTTATCTTTTTGATTGTGATTCCCTGTTTTCCTTCTGATCACTTACAGATTACTCACTACCAAATGTTGTATAACACGTATGGCTCGAGTTTTTTTTCAACAGTGCAGTCAGACGTGATGTTCTTCAATATATACAATGAATGTCAATTCTACCTGCTGCTTCCACCAGCACTTTTGTGATTGTTGGACAGGTGCATGCTGTATTGATGTGAGATGGACGTTTCATGGATGCGAGAGATGTATTGTGATGTTGGACTGTGCTTGTCATGTCAATATGTGTGAAACTTTCAATCTATTAACGTGACATCAGTGAATACATGTACTCTGGAGATAGAAATTGTGCATAAAATGCTTTTAATTCAAAGAAAGACTCATCATTTAAAAATAATGAAATTCAGTCGAACCTTATTATTTCTTTTTTCGATGGGACCGGGAAAAATACTTCTTCGAGATATTCAAGGACTTCATGTTAAGCAACAGAACGAAAAAGTCTTTAAAGCTTCCAACTCACTTCGATGTACTTCCTTGGTATTCGAAATATCGAGATAACCGAAATTCAACTGTATGTGAAAAGGTGATACAATATGGCTGTTTTGAGATACATTTGATAAACAAGTTATATGATAAGGTCATTATGAAATAAGTGTGACAATATAATTGTTAAGTGGTGCAACTGATAGTTATACGATTACTGTACATATATCTAATATGTATATGTAGATTTGTGCATCGGATTGCGTGTTTTTTTTTTAAATGACCTGAGTGCAATTTAGTTTAAATTTGTTCAGCAGGCAGCTAAGAAATCATGTCTCCTGTCAGTTGGCAATAAGTGAATTATATATAATAAATCAATAAGTGAATTATATATAATAAATCAATAAGTGAATTATATATAATAAATCAATAAGTGAATTATATATAATAAATCAATTTTTATTAGGCATTGTGGGGTGTACTTTAATATGATTACGAATAAAAGGAACAGTTAACCTTACATAGAATGCTCTTGCCAATAGTTTCTGAATATTTTCTTGCATAATAAGTGGATTGGAAATTCAAATTTTTGGATATTTTTTTTATCTTTTTCACGGATAAATTAATTATGGAAATAATAAGAATACAAGAACAAGTGTGAATGGAATAAAACAACAACAAACGCACGCTAAACCTTTAGTACATTTTTTTTTAAAGTTTGTGAAACTGCAAAATGAATCTTAAAATGAGAATGATGTACTCCTTCAATAATTACGTCTGATGACTTTTTTTTTGCTTGTCAAGGAATTTTTACATGGTAGTGCCCACCCAAACTGAAAATGTTTTGTTCTTCACCCCAAGTCTGAAATTGCTTCCTACGGGCCTGTACTACATTGGTACTTTGCAGCTTGATTACCGGTTGAGGCTACTAAGTAAATAAAATCCTCTTTTATGACCACTTCATCGGTTTATGAAGGTGACTTTCTGACATAAAACTAAGCTTAGTGTAGGACCTTTTTTTGGAATAGTGACCTTATGGAATAAATAATTACTAGTAATCACTCGAATGAAAAATATACAAGTCACATTGAGTACCGTTGATGGTCATACATATAAAAACTAATGAAATTTGATCTATCTTTCTAGGAAGAAAGTATTAATAGGATTCATTATAATGTCTTAACATTTTAACCACATGCTCAATGCAGGATTCATGAAAATAACTTTATATCCTTACAACATGGTCCATACAGGATTCATGAAAGTAACTTAATACTTTAACAACACGATCCTTGTAGTTATGAAAATAAATTTATGTCCTTACAGATGCAAGATTCAAGGGAAAAAAACAAAATATTCTGTCAGGATGGTTCTAGCAGGATTCATGAAAATAACTTAATATTCTAGCAACATGGTCATAATAGGATTCGTGATAGAAACTTAATATTCTTACACCATTGGCCATATAGGAGTCACCACTAAATATCATCATAATATTGGTCAATACATGAAAAACTTGCAGCATGTAAAGCATGAATGTGAAATAAGTTTGTGTCTTCAGTCAAATTAAAATGTTTAGCCATTAGGACTGAAGAAAGTTTGTAGTCTCTCCGTTTGTCAAAGAAATTTAAAAAATCGCTGAAAATTCCATTTAATCGATTTTTACTTGCAGCGTGAATTTGCAGAACTGCATTTTCACTAGAAATTAGATAAACGAATGATATACACACATCTTATTATGAGAAAAAGAACTCTGGTATTAATTTGATCACTAGGTCTGCACAGTTTCCCGTAGAATTATCTCAGTTTCCATTTAAAAACAGCTCGACTTAATTAGATTTTACTACAAAAACTAATTCACAATTGACACACCAGCCTTCTTAAGGCCTGTAGAAACAGTCTTACCAGTAACATCCTTGGAATTTTTTTTGACAGATTCGCAAAAGAATGCTGTACGCGATGTTATTTTCTCACAGGAAAAAGTTAGAGATACCAAACAAATGAGATACATTAGATATTTTTTTTTTTAATTCTAAATATTCTATTTTTACGTTTATTATTTAGAATCAGCTGTAATATTCTGAAAATCTAAAGTCATCAGGAATACCAAAGGATTCTAGGAATAATTCAACATTGGACTATAAATGAAGAAAAAAAATGACATAAAATCGAAAGCGGAATTATACGATCATTTTGCTAATTTTGCATTTCAGGTTAAAAATAACTCACAACAAATTGAATATAAATCACGCATAATACTGTGCTCACTAAGTTGGAGTGAAAATGTCAAATGACGAACAAAACATCATGCTCAGTGGCGGATCCAGGAATTTCGTAACGGGGGGGGGGGGGGGGGCAGGAGACAAGGGGGTCTGGGGCTGCATTGAAGCCCCAAGTGGGTCTAGGACAAAGCCTTGGAAGGGGTCTGTATTTGATTATTTGTAAGACAAATTCTTACAAATAAGAGATGTTTTTTCCTTGATTTTAGGATAATGGAATATTAAAAATTCCAACGAAGGGGGGGGGGGGGGCGCACGCCCAGCGCGCCGACCCTGGATCCGCCTTTGATGCTCTAAAGTCCAATTAACCAATAACTGAGAGTAGAACAAACACGACCTACAAACACGTCAGAGGTGGGATTAGGGTGCCGTGGAGGAGTAAGCATCCCCGGTCACACCCGCCTTGAGCCTTTTGTATTGATCGGGTTAATTGAGTAACCCGTAGAAATCTTAGCATAAGTTGAAAACAAGTTGTATCAAATACGTCAGTCATCATTTGAAATAACGCCAGAATGTAATTAATAATAATAAAGTCATTGTATCGATCATAGAATTCGACATGTTAACTTTGAACAAGAAAAAAAAATTCTTCTTGATACTTTTATAACATCAACTTATATATCAGTAGTCTCCCTCGGTTAAGAAATTGTTCGTACACAGAATATTCTCTCGTGTATCGAATTAACTGAGATGAATAAGCAACATATGCAAGTGATTAATTTATGTTGCTACATAAAGAGGAAAAGTTGACAATAGAAAAGTTTAATTCATCACATTTATCATAAAGGAGATGGGTGAAGAAGGCGTGCAGAATGCCTATAGCTTCAGATATGTAAAATCATATTCAATTTGTGAATTTGTAGTATTTAGAGAAAAGTTACCTTTATTGAAATTTATGAAATTATGATAAACAAAAACTTTTCTGAGGAAATTTTTTCGGCAAAAATTATTCTGTTATTTAAAAAAATGTGGTATTCCTGGGGTTCGAACCTTAGCAATAAAAATCCTGAGTATCATTTTCCTTTTAGACTAACGCGCTAACCACTATGCTACACAGCTCCTGAAGGCATTTAAATCATGTTTGTGATATGACCCTAGACTAAATGGATTTCAGGTATTTCTCGTAAAATGCGAATGTTGTGTCATAAAAGTGTATTTTTAAGGTATAGTGGGTCTTTCTTCCAAGTTTTTGTTAACCAAAATATGTTTATTTTTACGCAAACTTTGAGAATAAACTTTCAAAAAACATGGAGCGAAGACCTTCTTTAGTGTGTGCATCATTTCATAGGCAAAAAAATTCAATCTTTATGAGATCTTTGCATATTTTGGAAATTTTACATACAGTATACTTAAATGCTAGATGAAATATCAAAGAAAATTTTGTTATATTTGAGATTTAATTTTTCCTCTTCATGTTTGTCGCATTATAGGCACTATAGGCACTTCGCTCGCCTTGTTCGCCCATCTTCTTGAGTTGTTTGTTTGTTGTTTAACGTCCCTCTCGAGAATTTTTCATATGAAGACGCCACCACTCGCCGGTGGAGAGCTGCAAATTTTGACCTATACTCGGCAATCTGGGCTATTGAGCAGTGAGGATCTTTTTCGTGCCAGTACCTACTGCAACACGGGATATCGGTTTATAAGGTCTCATCCGAAGGCCCGGTCTCTACGTCCCACAGTGGGATTCGAACTCGCGACGTAAGGATCAACTCCTTACTCTAGAGCAGACGCTTTAACCTCTGCGCCACGCGGGCAACTAAAATTGAGTTGTTAGTTTGCCTTCAATATTTTTCTCTCGTGAAAATCCGAAAAACGAAACAAATATGTATAGCAAGTATGTTATACCGTGTCTTATTGTCCCCGCTTTCACTGAAAGTGTGGTATATTAATTTGGGTCTGTCGACCTGTCCGCCTGTCTGTCTGTCTCTCATTATGTCTTTGTGTTACACTTTCGTTTCCAGGCGATATTTCAAGAAGCCTTAGAGCTTCTGTGATAAATTTTATATCACAACTCCCTATATCATTTCAGTATGTGGAACCTCTGCGAAGAAAAAGAACGGAAACTGTAAATAATTTGAATGTTTCAAAGTCCAAGGGGCATAACTCTGTCAAAAATTGCTCAATTCTACCCCCAGAACAGAACTTGTTCTAGATATTATTATGATAAATCTGTATACCAAATTTTATTTCAGAATGTGGAAATCTGCAAAGAAAATGAACGGAAACTGCAAATATTTGGAATGTTTCAAAGTCCGCATAACTCTGTAAAAAATTACTCGATCGTAAACAAAACAGAACTTGACTTAGATATTCTTATGATAAATCTGTATACCGAATTTCATTTCAGTATGTGCAACCTCTGCTAAGAAAATGAACGGAAACTGTTGATGGACCGACAGACAGACTGACCGACCAACAGACAACAGCAAATCAATATGACCTCCATTCTTCGTAGGAGGCCAAGCATAAAAATAATTTTTGTCGACAAAATTTTCCTCAGAAAATTTTTGTTTATCATAATTTCATAAAGTTCAATAATGAACTTTACTCTAAATAATAAATTCACAAATTAATTGTGATTTTTATATATATGAAGCTATAGGCATTCTATGCGCCTTGTTCATCCATCTCCTTTGACTATGTTCCATCTACTTGATCAATACATAGGGCTCACGGCGGGTGTGACCGGTCAAGTCAATAGGGGATGCTTACTCATCCTCGGCACCTGATCCCACCTCTTGAGTTTTATGCCATGTTCTCATATTTGTATTGTTTGTATTTTTATGAGATCGATCACTATTCGTTATCTTCACCCTTTTTTCATTTAGTTCAGATCTAGAAAAAAGTGTTTACCTGGTTATATTCATTTTGTTGTTCAATATGCTATCTGGGGCAAGACTTACTATTCCATGTGCTCTGAGAGCAATGTCCCCAAATATAGTGTAAAAACGTGTCGCATTTCTGGTGCTGTTGTTTGTCCCCCGTTTGCTCTGTGTAGATTAAGACGATTACAGGTGTGAAATCTGGCGGAATGTAGGTTTATAAAATTTTTAAAACAATGGAGGTGTGAGATGTCGTCAAATCCGTAGGTGCAGATACGACAGGTAGCAATGGAAATGTTATGGTTATGCGTCTGCGTAACATCATCAGATCTTATTTCTTTATTTCAAAGTTCTGCCAAGTATCAAATTATTCCACTGTTATGATATTC